CCTTTCCCATCTCTTTTGAGGGACCCATCTCACAAGACTGTTTTAGTTCAGGAAGAACAGTCTCTTTTGGAAATGGGACCAATACAAACACAGAGGGTAAGGCACCTATTTCCAGTACTTCCTGATTACCAAAAGGAGAGGTGGTCTTTGACCCATTGTGGACCTAAATCAGTTCAGTTTTCTTATCAAAAAATTAGTTTCAGGATGGCAACCCTTGTATCTATTATCCCTTCCTTCGACATTGGAGTGCTCCCTTTGTTTGGCAGGATGCTTACTTTCATGTGGCAATGCACCTTGACCTCAGAAAGTATCTTTGATTGATGTCGGGCAACAAACACTACCAATACATGGTCCTACCCTTCGACCTACCTTCAGCTCTAAGGCTGTTCACCAAGAGTATGACAGTGGTCTTGGCACATCTGCACCATGTAGGTGTTCAAATATTTCCCTACCTGGATGATTGGTTAGTTTGGGGAATGTGAAGCACTCACATCCAACACAGCATCCTCCTCATCAGACATCTATTCTCTCATCTAGGCCTAAAACTGAATATAGAGAAATCAGCATTAAAACTGATACACTGAACATGTTACATAGGAACAGATGTAGACACCACAACTGCCATGGTTTATCTTTTGATGGGCAGGTTTCAGTCCATAGTCTCTCTATCCAAAAGCCTCAAGTCCAACCTAGGGACAACACAGTGGGCTGTATCTACAACTATTGGCCTCATGCACATACGTGACTCAGCATGCCAGACTTCACCTCAGATGGCTACAGGCCTGCCTTCACTCGGTATATCATCCAAGCAGACATTTGCAGATTTGCATACTTGCATGAGGGCTTCAGTCTTGGATTGGTGGTTGGACCCTTAGAACATATGCAAAGGGTTCCTTTTCTACCAGCAGAACCAACTTGTAACAGAAATGTTCATCTATCTGGTGGCAGCCAGGAGCTGAGCCGCAGGACCAGGAACAGAGCCCCAGGCGTGGGTCCAGCGGCAGCCAGGGCCCCGTGTGTGGGGCTGGGAAAAGAGCCCGGGCCCAGATCCAGCAGTAGCTGGGGCCCCATGTGCGGGGTTGGGGAAAGAGCCCCGGGCGCGGGTCCAGCAGCAGCCAGGGCCCTGCATGTGGGACTGGGAGCAGAGCCTTGGGCAGGGGTCCAGCGGCAGCTGGGACCCTGCATGCAGGGCTGGAAACAGAGCCCCAGGTGCGGGTCCTGCAGTTGGGAGTTGGGACCCCACGTGCGGGGTCAGGAGCAGAGCCCCAGGCACTGGGACAGCAGGGCCGGGACCCCGCACAAAAATTGGGGGTGCTGCAGCACCCCCCGCACCCTTAGTTCCTTTGCCTATGAGAATACAGAGGATGGCAGGCAAACTCTAATCTCTAGACACTTTTGATATGTCTTGTACTGTCTTAGTGGACTCAACATCTGATTCCATATGGAAGCAGAGATTCGTAATGGAAGGACAAAAGAATCTTAAGTCTAACGTGCTAGTGAAAATGGATGGTATCTCTTTAAGACAGAGTCCAGCCTTGGAATTGGTAATGATTAAGTATCTGAAAACTGGTAAACAGGCTTAGTGTCTGTGTTGATGCAAATTACCTGACTGCCCTGAGAAAGACTTGCCCATAGCCCTGAGCAAAGAGGACACATCTGGCCAGTCAGTGGATTCTGTTACACCAAAGAGCTCAGATTTTGACCCTCCAGAATGGGGAGGAAGGGAAAAACTAAACCTTACAAATAAAAGCCACAGGTTAACCCTAAATTGCCAAAGCTGCAATGGTATTGAGCAGAAGGCGTGGCATGACAAAAATGATTGTAAATGTACACTTGAAATGAATTTGATGTTAATATTAATGCTAATTAATTCTTGTGACTAATGTGTTGCTAATACCAAGAACTGTAAAAATGTACACTGTGCCTAATCTTTTGGAAAAACCCTTGAACATGTTAACAGTGATACATAAGAACACACTTTATGTTAAAAGGCCTTGTGATATTGATATTTCACAGTTATTGCCTGTAACTAGTCTTGAAACTGTACACAGGAGAAAAGACATTGCAGACCTAATGTGCTGTATAAGAAGGGAAACTGAGGCACACTACCCTATTGCTTTCATGGCTAAATGCCAAGATTCTACACTATGAAAAACATTAGTATTTACATTAACTTGATGTTAATTGGGTTTCCTGTGTTTGCCCTGTTTCTTAGCAGTTTGTCCTGAATTTGGCATTTTCAGTTGTGACCCAAGAAGGCACGGTTACACAAGGCAAGTCAGTGCACCCCAAACTACAATCTCTGCACCTCACAGCATTGATGATCTCTGGTTGAACAATGAGGAGAGAGTTTGTTCCTGAGATGTCTAGGCCATTTTGGTGAGCAGCAGAAAGGATTCCACCACAGCCACACATGCATTAAAATGGAAAAGGTTTTCAATCTGGGTGGAATCTCACCAATTATCACCAAACAGCACAGAGACTAGATATATACTATACCGTCTGTTACAGCTGAAATCCTCTGGCATCTCTGTCAGTTCAGTGAGAGTCCATCTAGCATCCATCTCTGCAGTACACCCACCAGTGGATGGGTATTCTATCTTTTCACTTCCTTGGAATCCAGATTTTCAAAGGGGCGAATTCCCTTGTACTTTCCTGTATCTGATACAGTATTTTTATGGGACCTGAATGTAGTATTGTCTTGCTTGATGGGCTCCCCTTTGAACCTTTGGGAACAACATTTCTTCCACTGTTATCAATGAAATAGTGTTTCTGGTAGCAGTTACCTCTGCTCGGAAGGTGTCAGAGCTACAGGCACTTTTAGCTGATTCTCCTTTCACATATTCCACAAAGACAAGGTCCCTCTTAGTCTGCATGCTAAGTTTGTGCCAAAGGTGGTTTCATCATTGCACCTCAACCAGACTATTCATTTGCCAGTGTTCTTTCCAAAGCCTCATTCTTCCAAGGATGAAGAAAAGCTTCATAAATTGGCTGTCCAAAGGGCTCTGGCACTTTACTTGTACTGCACAGTCTTTCAGATCCTCTCCCAAACTCTTTGTATCCTACGCTGAGAGGATTAAAGGGCAACCTGTTACAACATGTATTTCTTGTTGGATTTCTGACTATCGAGTTTTGCTACGTTTAAGTTGGCAAAGGTATGTCCTCCACCAAGGATAACAGCCCAGTCCATTAGGGCTCATTCTACTTCATCAGCCTTTTTGAGCAACACCCCTGTCGTGGATATTTGCAAAGCAGCAACATGGTTGTGTGTACAAGACTTCTCCAGACACTACTCTCTTACTCAAACTTCCTGAGATGAGACTTCGGCAAGTCAGTGTTAGTCGCTCTTCAAATAATGGGAAGTCCCACACCCTGTCCGGAAATTTCTGGTGAGTCACCTCACAGTAGAACATGTATGTGCACAATCACCGGAAGGAGAAAAAGTGGTTACTTGTTGGTACAGTAACTGCTGTTCTCGAGGTATGTTGTGCACATAGACATTCCATGACTCTCCCACCTCCCCTGCCACTTCAGGTACGATACCCTGGCCATGTGAAGGAACAGAGAGAGAGACAGTGGCCAGGCCCTTTTATATCTTTGGCTCAGTGCACAAGGACAGTCGAGGGTACATGCGTTGCTTGCTGGCACTGCTAGCAAAAGTTGTTGTTTGAGAGTTCATTGGGCACAGTGAAATGCATATGTGCACAATCCATTTTGAAGAACAACAGTTATTGCACAGGTAAGTAACTGGGTGTTTGTGAAGTGTACTGGTTTTCAAGCTCAAAAAATAATAATATAATGAGCAGAGGTTTACTTGCAGGTGTAAGCCTTGCTGGCAAAATAGTCCTCCTTGTTAACCCAGCTAAGGGTTATATAATCTAGCATTACCACAATGAGTTATTCTTTTTTTTTTTTCCCCAGAAAGGAAAAGTAATAGTTTGGTCCAACCACCTCTGTGTCCTTCCTTCACACTTCATTTCATCTCATTACATTTAGAAGGATTATTCAACAAATCCCCAACCCACTAGGGAATATCAGATAGTGCAGAATATGGCAGCCATTTGTTCAGTGGTGCGTTTTTCAGGGAGCAAATTAGACCTGTGCTGCAACATCATCACTCACTTATGATTCATTTTCATATGTAATTCAAGAAGTTGTTTGTAACCTCTTAAGCCAGGGTTATGACTGTCCGAAAGAGTGCTTCTCTCCCCATGTGATACCATGGCAGGTGAGGTCAGGTGAGGTTCTCAAGCTAATGGCTTCTTGGTTTTTAATACAAAGAGGCTGGTGGCAAAATGGCTTCAGCTGAGAAATTGTCTTTCCCCCTGGTCTGCTGATCTTAAGAGCAAAATGCAAGGCCTATCTGGTTTCCCAGGCTTTTGAGAAGGGGGTGATTTAGGATGGTGTGTGTGAAATTAGGTATTGGGTTACTGGTAGTCTTGATGAGTTATTTAGATAAGGAAGAATTTGTAGTTTCTGATTTACTTTGTAAAAATGTGTAGTTGTTTTTATAGTACATGAGCCCCAAGAGTATATAGATATGCATATTTCCAAAAATCCAAATGCATACTTAATGCAACGTAAATGATACTCTGTCTGCTGCGGATGGACATGTTGATACCATTCTGATTTCTGTCTAGGGCCAGAAAAAGTAGCGTCAACATTTTGCGGGAATTTCTCATTAGTTTGCCAGTCTGGAGGCCTGATCTTGCAAAATGCTGTCTGTCGCCTATGGGGAGCTGAATGCCCTCAGATTGCTGTGAAGTCAGTGGAAGTTAAGAGCTGGTAACACTGCCAGTTTTGCATACTCTACCGTTTCCAATAATTCAGACATATATTGGATAAGCATCCAAACTTTGGAAATGTATCTGAATTGAATTTGAACTTCAAACCATTTGAGTCTGCTAAACCTTATATTAACTAAGAATATTCTCAGTGTGAAAATGCTATAAGATAACTTGGTATATTTTATTTAAAAAACAGTGCGTTTTCTTATCTAGATGGAAATTGGTCTAGCTAAAGACCAAACACGACACACAGAAGAGATTTTCAGGCTCAAAGAAGACGCTAGAATGGAACTAAACATTGAAAGACAAAAGCACCAAGAATTAATAGCAAAATATCAGAAAGATCAAGAGGAACTACGGATGAAGGTTTGGAGCAATTGAAAGGAAGTTGGTGTTGCAACAGTAGATAATATACCTTGGAGACAAAAAGGAGTGGGGTGGGGGAACCTAATCCCCTTAGATTGTGTTTCTTCATCTAGATAGGTTACTAGCATGTCATTACACTTTCTCCCTGTTCTAGTATATACAGTACATTTTGTATTATTTGAAATGGAACAGAGCAAACACATTTTGCATATAGCTATTTCATTTAAAGGTATTATAGGGTAGATATTTTTGCATTTACTCAGACCCAGATTTCTCCTAGCTATAGTTTTTTGACATGTTGATTTTTCTTGCAATGTCATACAATAGGCTAACTGAATTAAAAAAAAATCAAACTATATTTCTTACACAATTTATTTAATTAAAAGTAAAATCAAAGCCCTTGGACTACTCTGAACCATACTGGGCTGGCATAGAGGTATCCCCAGTAGTTTCTCCTTCCTTACCTGAGTTTAGTGTTTATTGGACAAAGCCAAGTATTGAGTCCATTAGTTCTCCCTTTATCTATGTTAATTTCTTTCATTCAATACAATTTTCTATTCCTTTCTCTTTTCAGATGTTTTTCTAGCCAGGTAAACCACCAGTTATCTGAATCCTATTTATCCAAATCTGAGTTTTCCAAAATTCATATAAAAACTGAAAATAGTTTTCCAAAAGTTTTAGACATCCTTTGAGACATTTGGAGAATCAAGAAAGGGATTTTTATTATGTTTATTTCAAATGCATTATTTTAAGCCAATGTTTAAACAGTTGAAAATAAAACATTTTATTTTCATAGTATCTATATATTATTTTTTAAAAAAGACTATCTACTTGCTCTAGAGGTTGAAATTGAGATTAGAAATCAAAAGACTTTTTCCCATTTCTAGCACAGTTTCACTATTTGACCTTAGGCAAATCACTTAAATCTCTCTGTGCCTGAGTTTTCTTACATTTTAAAAGCACTTTGACATCCTTGAGGGGTATTCTATAAGTCCAAAGTAGTGGTATTGTTCATTTGTACCTGTTAGGAGCTACACATCTTCACTTTCAGAGCTCCTTTTGTCTGGTATCAAATTTCTACGTAACCAAATAAATAATTGCATGTGAACTAATGTACGATTTATCATACAGATACCTGAATTAATATCCAGTGCCATCAACAGCCTAAGGATGGAAGTGGGAATTCTTAAAAACCAGCTTCAGGAAGCCCAGGTCAAACTTACAGAGAAAGATGGAGATAAGGAAGAAGAAATGCGAAGCCTTAAAAGGCTGGTTACTAAGCTTGAATTTCAGCTGAAGAAGGAACAGAACAACAGTGATTCATTATCAGAGGGCATGAGGAAAGAAATTAAAGAGAAGTCAGATGAACTGGAAAAATTAACCCAGGAGCAAGCAGAGCTGATTCAGAATTTGAGTCAGGCTCAAGAGGAGGTAGGAACTTGACCAAAGACATGCCCTGCTACATTTAGTATTAAATATGTGTGTACTATTCTATTATCATGTTACAAACGTGCAATTTAGATCAATGTAAAAGAAGTGCAGACTTTTAGAATAAACTAAAATCTTCAACTCTAGTGTGTTAATTTTAAAAGTCTTTAAAATGAATAATCTGTAAATCAAACGAAAAGCAAATTTTATGAACAAATTTTGAAATAATTAGTGTGAAAACCCCTGTTAGTGCATTATTACAAGAATACTCATCCCTTTCAGGTCTTTGAAGGCACCTCTCCTTCCACCTCATGTTTAACAACATTCTAAAGATATAATTTAAAGGAACCCTGGATTTTTTCAAAATAGAAAACATGGACTATTACAAACACTTTAAACATGATAGTAATATTCCATCTAGCAATCTTATTCATATTTGAGATAATTAATTAGAAAAAAATTGTACTTGTACACCATGTATATGGGAGTGCATAAAATGTTTCACAGAAATCAGTTTACAACTATTTTGCATACAAGAAAAAAAGCTAGCTTTTTGGATAATTTTTTCACAATGAATAATGCAACCAGTGTGAATAATGCAAATATGCACAGACAGCCATTGCCTCTGTTGCATCAAACAATTCCAAACATTTCTTCTTTTTCTGTCCAATATTTCTTGTCTTATGAAATCCTAGACACAATAGGGATGCATTCCCTGCAAGCAGTCTCTTTTGGGTACATCTACGCTGCAATAAAAGACCCGTGGCCCAGCTAGGGCTAGCTTGGGTCAGCTGACTCTGGTTCGCAGGGCTCGAGCTGTGGGGCTAAAAATTGGGGTTGGGCTGGAGCCTCGGCTGAGAAAACCTTCCCTCCTCACAAGGATTCAGAGCCCAGGCTCCAACCCAATCCCAAACGTCTGCACTTTGCAGCCCTACAGCCTGAGCCCCCAGAGCCCAAGTCAATTGGCCCGGGCTCTGAGTCTCGCAGCCCATAGGTTTTTTTACTGCAGTGTAGGCGTACCCCTTTTTGCTTTTCTTTTGTGAGTGATACTCAGGTGAGGCCAGGCATGTTGATGTGGTAAACTTGGCTTACTGTGCCTGCTTTGCAGGCATTTTTCACTGTCTAGACCTATCTTTATAAAATTCTACTACTAAAGTGGTCATTTTGCTTCTGAGAAAATGGGACCTGAAGGAGTAGAGCTGGAGCATTGCAACATCTTGTATTTATAGCTTGGTGGTCTGTTTTCTGCCAAGTTTGAAACTGTCTTGATTATTTCCCATTTTATGCCATTTCAGGGTAGCCAACTTTTCATCCTTGATATGTGTTTGCTATCTCAGCCTTTAAATCTTCTATTACCTCCTTTATTCTTTAACAAATTGATTATATTGCTGTGATTTTGTTTTAGCTAATGAAGGTCCCTTCAGTCCTCAGAATGACTGAGCCCAACACTGACCACATCTTTAGCTCTGTTTCTGCCATTTTTTCCCTCCTCATAATGTCAAAGTCATCTCATATTTCTCCAGGCCTTTTTGCCTAAAGTCAGTTGCTCCATTCAGCTGCACTCACTTAAATCTGATTGTTTACAGCATAGGATTCTTCTCCCTCTCTTCCCTTTATACTGCTGCACTATGTACAGATCTTTAAGTGGTGGCATACTGACCTCTCTTTTTGTCCCCTATCTAGTCATAGAATCATAGAATATCAGGGTTGGAAGGGACCTCAGGAGGTCATCTAGTCCAACCCCCTGCTCAAAGCAGGACCAATCCCCAATTTTTGCCCCAGATCCCTAAATGGCCCCCTCAAAGATTGAACTCACAACCCTGGGTTTAGCAGGCCAATGCTCAAACCACTGAGCTATCTCTTCCCCCACTCTATTCTTGTCCCTCCCCTTTTTTCCTTTCTCCCCTCCCTTTACTTCTCTCTTCACCTCTCTTTCCCTTCCCTCTGCTGAAATTCTATGAACACCCCATTTTTGGGTGATTGGATGGTGACACGAGAAGTACTTTAATCAGTCTTCATCTCCTTATTTCTTTCTCCTTCCTTCCCTTTCTCCTTGTCTTTTCCTTTTGTCCCAAGAACAAGCATCCCCTTCTTCTCTCCCAGGGTGGGAGATGGGGAGAGGTTTGTGATTGTAACTCAGGGATACTTCCTCTTGTTCCCCTTTCCTCCTGGTGAGAATGAAAGCAAATTGCCATAGTGATGGTGTTTTGAGGCAAGTAGATTGTCGTTTCACTCAATGCAAATCTAAGACTTTGTGCATCCATAGTCACTGGCTTTGGAATGACACAGTGAATATCAGAACTGATGGGGCAAATTGCTGAGCCTCATATAAAAATTCATTAATTCAGTCGTGCTTGAAAATAATATAAATGTGACAGGAAAGGTGAAAAAATGTAGTTCTCTGGTTTTAAAGAAAGGTCAAATATGAAAAAAAGCATTTTCTAACCACTCACTGTACAAAATAAACTTCCTTGAAGTGTTTTACTGCTTCAGCAGATTAAATGTTCCACAGTATTATTCCTCAATAACTTTCATAAATTGTTACTTGACAATTTCCCCTTTTAGAATAGATCTTATGCAAAGACTGCAAATAAAACAGAAGTGTCCCAATAGCATGACTAAGTATAGCTATAGAAAACATTTAGCATGATTTTAACAGTGGGAGCAGCTTGAGATATGGCATATGAAAGTCGTATTTTAGCCACCGAATGCCTATGTAGTAGCATTCTACTAGCAAGAAAACACAATCTCTCTCTCCTGCTATCCATCTGAACTATTCAGACCAACTCATCCACAAGTCTTTGAGCCAAGTACTGATTTAATTTATGTAGTCATTTTAAAGCAAATCCTCACTTGTCAGCAGGTCAGGTTATGCCTCATTGTGTTCCAAGTACAGTGGAATGGTTTTGACCCCAGACAACTGAAAAATTAGAAAATTGGGTATCTGATTTTTTTTTTGTAGTATAGTCATAATTTTACCAACTCACCCTGTATGTGAACATATACCCTCTGATCACCAGTACCCTATGTTTGAGGAGTTCAGTAAGCACCCAGCATCTATCCCTTTTAGAGTGATGGTGTTTCATAAAGTATGTGTTTCTTTCTATTTGCAGAACTCTCTTCTCCAGGAAACGGTGCGTAGAGAGTGTGAGGAACGCTATGAGCTAACTGAAGCTTTGACTCAAGCTAGAGAACAAGTATTTGAACTGAAGAGGCTCAGTGGAAACTTCCCACTGTCACAATGTTCACTCAGTCAGGGCAGCCTAATCTCCTGTGCTGCACTGGTCAGTAATCATGGACAGAAGAGCCTTACGAGCCCAAACTCTGGGAAAGGAATCACACACTCAGGCCTGTGTAGTATTTCAAGAGCTGCTAATGCACCAGCCTTCAATAAACACAAAAGCAGTGGTAAAGTGGGTTTGCCAGCTCTAACTCCACCACACCCTCCCAGGGAAAGAGCGTCTTCTGTGAATGAATCCAAGAACAGAATAACTGCAGTTATAAGAAGACAACTGAGTCAGCTCTGATGCATAAAAATGTTCAAGGACAGTACATTGATAAACCATGAAAACCATTTCAGTGCATTATGTGGTCACTTAATTGTGGACCATAGGGGCAAAATGGTACCAGAAAGTTAACCTTTCCTGGCAATTAGCATATTTCTATTTTTTTTTTTTTACAATTTAAAATTAACCTAATATCTGTTATGTAGTTATATTTTACAAGGCAATCATGGTTGCTTATTTTTTGTTCAACAATATAATGGAGTTAAAATGCTACATGTATTTCAAGGTGAGAAATATAAAAAGAAAAACACAGTACCCCTCCAAGAGGTGTTTTCAGCAAATCTGGCACAACTGTAATTAAGATATTTGAAAAGCTCCAGAATTATTTCACCAAACCATCACCATGTCCTGGTCTTCATATTTCAAATTGTATCCAGATTAACTCCAGTGCCAGTTAGTGCTGTACAAATGTAGCTCAAGCATTAAGGGACAGATTTTGTCCTCCTTTCATTGAATAGCAACATACTTGCAAGTAGTTCCATTTCAGCCAATGGGATTGACTGTTTTTGCAATAATTTACTACTCACCATGAGAGAAGATGGCAGAATCAAACCCTAAATAATAGACAAGATATTGCAGGGAAGCAACGTCCCACCCATTGCTGTATAAGTCCTGTACCCACTCCAGTAAAGGAATCCAGAACCCTTAGGTAAATTGACATAGCTCCACTGAGGTCATTGAAACTATGCCAATTTAGGCTAACAGTCTTATGGGGAATCTTTTAAAATTCTTCCTTTACGAGAAATGACTTACTATGTATCAAAATTAAAACCCAGTGTCCCTAGGGTATACACTGTTCCAGTTACTTTTTCCATAACTCAGGACCCCAAGTGATGTGACAGCTTCAGGAATGCATTGTACCCAAAAGCCAGCAGGTTCGGTACTGCCTCAGTCTGAAAGATGTGGCCTTTTGATTTTCATCAAACCAACATCATCATATTGAGCTACCTCCTTTCAGTTTGAGGTGATCCTTCTGCTTGTACATAGGGGCATACACTCAGTTGTTACACAACAGAATTAACATTTTCATTTTACTACCGTGAACTTGGGGCTGTGCTTTTTTCTGGAACATGCCACAGGGATACTCATTTAAAATAAATAAATAAACCTAGCAGTCTGCATTAGTTTGATGTGATTGGGTTGGTGCTCTATGGTAGCCTCAGATTTCACTCCCTGGACCACCAAATCCTTGGAGTGTTCTGGGACAGTCACTCACACTTACCTTTGTGTGTTCCCAGGAGAGTTCTGTTCAGGCTCAGATTCAGGTTGGTGGCTGTGACATGAACTAAAACCTCATGGGAAGGAGATTAAACTTGGAAACTTTGGAGATTCTCAGAACCGTAATCAGCAACTAGAGGACTGAGAGGTTGCACGATCCTTTTGAAAGCTTCGGAACTGGACACACTGTTCTCCTCTAGTCACGTTGTTCTTCACAGGACACTTTAAGTGCTAGCCATGAGACACTTTTGTAATCACACACTGGATCTTGACCTCTAAATTTCCTGGTCCTGAAAAGATCACAGTGTCCTAAAATGACTGTAGTATTCCATGAGAGACAAGGTGGGTGGGATGATATCTTTTATTGGACCAACTTCAGTTGGTGGAAGGGATAAGTTTTTGAGCTTAACAGAGCTCTTCTTCAGGCCTGGAGGAGAAAAGTAGAGCTAGAATTAGGCCAATGCTGAGCACTTCTATAAATTCCCACCTCTATTTTCTAGCTCTATATGCAATATATATATACACACATACACACACACTGTTTTACTGGAATTATTTAGTTACGCTGTGACTCATATATGGACCAGATCCTTCAGTCTTTTATGCAGGCAAAACTCCCATTGACCTCAGGGGGAGTTTTGCCTGCCAAGGAGCAGTATGATTAGTTCACATCTCAATTATAATCAGAAAGGGTCAGATCTCCATGGCCAACTGAGTTCTGCTTGGTTCAGGGCCTGAGGAGTGGCAGGAGAAGCCTTTCCGCTTCCCTGAATGTGCGACTAAACGAGGAGACTCAGGGCTGCTGTAAAATATGCCAGCTTACTTTCCCATATGGACTACTTCACCAACCAGAGATCTCCAGAGCGCAGTGAGAGGAAAGGGAAGCGGAGGCTACGTATACCACCACCTATGCTAGTTTTATGCCTCTTGGAGATCCCCCTACATCAGGGGAATCCTTATCTCCCATAATAAGGCAGTTGTCCATTCCCTTTGTGCTGCTGGAGCAATGCAAAAGGGACAGAGTCATAGTCTGGGATCTGGTCCCCTGGTCTGCTGTAAAGTAGATGTAGCTTCATAGACTATGAACTGCAGAGTCATAAAATGTAAAGTAAGAAATACCAACACAGAATGAGAACAATCATTGGAGTAAAGTAGTTAGCACTGAGAAAACATATAAATCACAGCTCAAGGAGCTGGTCAAGAACAGAGTTCCTGGCTTCCTCTTCTGTCCTTACCTCACAGAAATCCAGAACTCTCTGCTAAGCAATGAAACATGTCAGGAAATCCTGCTCAGTGATGCTGAGGTTTTAAAGACAACATGACAGGATCGAAATTAATTTCACAGAGCAGAACAATGGGAGTAAAAAATGTAATAGCTGATGCATTTCTTTTACTTGGCTGAAACTTACCAACGGGGGGGGAGGGGGTAGCACTAAAAATGTATTGTAAGGTCCCTGATTACATCAGTGAGCCATGGTGTCGGCTGGAGGTAATACTTCTATTAAAAATGATGGCGTTTGTGCAGTAGATTTGTCCGAAGAATGTGGCTTGTACTATTATGTATTAGACATAATGGAATACTGAAAAAAATAAGTGTGCTTTGGAAGGGCTGTCTAGTTCCTCATGCTTCAGGGCATAAACCAATCTTTCACGAGTATGGGTTAGGGAAAAAAACTTTCCTGTGTGTAGATTATCCCATAACTGCCTACTGCAGGGTTTTGTGTGTCTGCCTCTGAAGCAGCTGGTACTGGCTGCTGTCAATGACAGCATAATGTACCTTAGAGCAGAGGTCCAACGTCACCCACCACCCCAGCAGCAGCCTCATGAGTCAGGGAGCACAAAGTTGGCATACAGCTTCTCCCTCCCCCAGGTCCTATACCAAGCACAGTTCAGCTGGACCTGATGATCAGGGTCAGTAAATGACTGCTTTGCATGTAATTTTTAAATACGTGTAGATCTTGGTATGAATTAGGAAATGCTTCATTTGTCCTTCTAGGCCATGTTTTTGATTTTTGGCCAAGCCAAGTGAGGTCTTACAGACAGAAATGCTGTCATGTTAAGTGTAACATGATGCCTTTGAACACTGCATCCCGTACATTTCAGCCATTTGGGGAATGAGCTAGACCTCAACAGACAGAACACTGTTGATTTTGGTTAAACTCAGAAGAGGGAATGGGGGACACGTGGAGCCCCTGACAGAGCCATCAGCTTCAACTACCTCTGTAATTGTCTGTAGCTCAGTGAACCAGTTGATAAAAATGGTAGGGGAAAAGGATTATGTGCAGCTGGAATGGGGGTGGGTGTCAACACAGAGCCCCTGGCATGGGGGAGCAAATGGGGGAACCCTGGTATGGGGAGAGGGGACATGGGGGCACATAGGACCCCTGGCATACAGGGAAGTGTGGGGGGGCACACAGGGCCCCTGATATAAGGGAGGGGAGGGGGGGCTGCAGGGGGGTTCCCGCAATGGATGGGGATGAGCGGGTGGAACATAGGGCACTTGGGTTGGGGGGGGGGAATGAAGGGATACAAGGAGCTCCTGGGGTACAATATGCTCAGCCTAAAGAAGCAACAAAGTGTACAAAACCCTCTTGTTTATTAGTGCCTTGGGATTCTCAGTACATTTTTGGGAGCACTCTAGTGACTTTTTTTAACTCCTGTAAACTCAGCCCATTTTCACCCCTCCAACCAACTGTGTTGCCTACTTCATAAAAAGCTAGTCCCCTCTAGCTGTTGAAGGCAGGGGAAATCATGCCATTGACATTAATAGGAGCTGAAGCAGGCCCAAAGCATCTGCTGTATTTATCAAAGACGTCGACTTCCAGTCCTATTAGGGGGTCACATTTTTTTTTTATTTAAAATCCTTTGCAGCAGATTTTACAAGATAAATGTTGCTTTGCCTCATATATGAGAGATGACAACTGAGCCTTTCATATCGTGCCTGGTTATGATGTGGGATCCCAGTCCACTTCTAGTTTTTTCCATGAAGGAAGAAAGTTGACTTCAGAAAAAGTGGTCTTTGTATCTTAGCAGCATTAAAAAGACATAGAAATAGAAACTGGAGCCATGGCGACTATGATATATTGTTAAAGGGTATGAATTAGGAAACAAATGCTAGACATCTTTCTTTTTATTCAAAAAGAGCTGTGCTCTGAGGTACAGTGTGGTCTAAAATCTAGATCTGGCCCTTAGCAATATTTTATAAGCCTTGTCCTTTAAAGCATGCATAATGATGTCAAAAGGTACTGTGTATTTGTAATAAGAGGAAGAGAACAGGGTTAGAGAAGGATGAAATTGGGGAGATTTCCTTTCTTTATCAAAAAACCTAATCTTTGAGTATAATTATTTAAAATGGGGTTTAACCACATTAGGCCTAGTTGTTGTTAGTATTATGTTTCTAATTGCTGTAGGTAGTTTAGGTTTCAGCCTTCCACTAGAGCCACAATAAACCCCATAAGCACTGATATTGACACAAACTAACTGAGTCTAATCATGCTTAGCAGTTACATGGTTTTTCATCCTCAAAGCACGGCACAAAATTAATTTTAATACTATAGTAAAAAAGGACTCTGAAAGTGACTTGTTGAGCAGATTCTAACACTGGAAATATAATGTGTGTGATGGAAAATCTGAACAGCTGGCACTGCATTGCAAACTGTTCCCAGATAATGGAAAAAAAAAATCATCTTCCAAACAAGTGTGGAGCGTTCCAGCATATTATTTTTTGCCTGCGTCATGAGATGCCCTTCTATCCCTTAAAAACAAATAGGCAACAACCGCTCCATAGTTTCAGTTTTCCACCTGCAGCCTTGTATTACTGGTGAATGAAGGGCCCTGCCAGGATGTGACTGACTACTTCTTCCCAATGAGCTCAGAGGCAATTTTTTAGTGTTCCACAACAGCAAAGATTCTGTTATGTATAACACAGGTCCCATTACATGGTAATATTCTTCCTGCCCTGCCCACACAGTGTCTTATCAATGCAAATTATTACATACAAGATGAAAACAGTGATTCCTGGCAGTCTGAAAAGTCATATGATGAGCCAGTAAGTTTTTGTTTGCTTGTTTACCTCCTGAGAGGTCAGCTATCCTGAGGTCTGAAACAAGGCTAACCAATTAGATTGGCTTAACAGAGGTCAGTATTTACCTCTTAGATCAATAAATACTGACATCACTAAGCTAATAGAAACTTAATACAACATGATACAAAAATGACTGATGATGTCAAAATACTGTCATGATCATGATCTATTGATTGTAGTCATGTATCACTACAGTACTGATTGTCCTGTACTTATTAGCATAATTCTTTATTCTTTTAGAATAATAATGTATAGTACTACCACATGTGAGACCCTACTTATAGTACAATTACACAATTAATTTATCACACCATGTCATAAATATAAAGGGAAGGGTAAACCCCTTTGAAATCCCTCCTGGCCGGGGAAAGCTCCTCTCACCTGTAAAGGGTTAAGAAACTAAAGGTAACCTCGCTGGCACCTGACCAAAATGACCAATGAGGAGACAAGATACTTTCAAAAGCTGGGAGGAGGGAGAGAAACAAAGGGGCTGTGTGTCTGTCTATATTCTGTCTTTGTCGGGGATAGACCAGGAAAGGAGTCTTAGAACTTTTATTAAGTAATCTAGCTAGGTACGTGTTAGATTATGATTTCTTTAAATGGCTGAGAAAAGAACTGTGCTGAATAGAATAACTATTTCTGTCTGTGTATCTTTTTTGTAACTTAAGGTTTTGCCTAGAGGGGTTCTCTATGTTTTGAATCTAATTACCCTGTAAGGTATCTACCATCCTGATTTTACAGGGGGGATTTCTTTATTTCTATTTACTTCTATTTTTATTAAAAGTCTTCTTGTAAGAAAACTGAATGCTTTTTCATTGTTCTCAGATCGAAGGGTTTGGGTCTGTGGTCACCTATGGAAATTGGTGAGGCTTTTTATCCAACATTTCCCAGGAAAGGGGGGGTGCAAGTGTTGGGAGGATTGTTCATTGTTCTCAGATCCAAGGGCCTTGGTCTGTAGTCACCTAGGCAAATTGGTGAGGCTTTTTACCAAACCTTGTCCAGGAAGTGGGGTGCAAGGTTTTGGGAAGTATTTTGGGGGGAAAGACGCGTCCAAACAGCTCTTCCCCAGTAACCAGTATTAGTTTGGTGGTGGTAGCGGCCAATCCAAGGACAAAGGGTGGAATATTTTGTACCTTAGGGAAGTTTTGACCTAAGCTGGTAAAGATAAGCTTAGGAGGTTTTTCATGCAGGTCCCCACATCTGTACCCTAGAGTTCAGAGTGGGAGAGGAACCTTGATACACCACTAAAAAGTAGTATATTCACTTAACGCATTGTACCATAATGCATAGTTAATTACATTTTGGAATATCAATGTGCAGGTCAACTCTGAAATATGTGTTTGAGGGGCAGCTAAAAGAGACCTACCTTTCATCCCTGTGCAAGTTTTCTTCTGCATTTGGAATTATAAAGTACTGACATTTTCATCATTCATGAACAAAACAGATTTTCTTGCAGAGGTTTTCAAATGTAGCCCAGATTCACTGGCAGTACATTACAAAAAATACAAAACAAGGCCCACGAATTCTGAAGATGCTTCCATTGTGAAGATTGTCTAGTTTTATTGACACATTTCTATGCCTTCTCTGTAAGCACCACACCAGTCCTCTTCAGAAAACCCAGGTAACTATTATATTTTTGTGTGAGTCATAGTCCAGCACCTGTTACAGTATTAAAGGACATTATTTCTGCAAGTTACACAGCAGCTGCCATCTCTATCTTAGTCTCCTGGTTACCTGCACACATTCATTTAGTACGGCTACGCTGAATGCTTTAAAAGCTATGTAGATCTTTATATCTTCTAATGGAAAATGATGACTTAGTGGGGACTTTTCCAAAGTCAAGTTACTGGAAATATACACAAAGCACAATTTGGAGCCATAAACTTGTCCAAACCAGTCTTTACGCACCTATATTGGCCATGCATCAAGAAAGGATCCAGTAAACTATGGCACAGCAGATGCACACACCTACATATTGTTTATTTCCAACACATGCTATCATATTGATTATTCCCACACTAAGGTGTGGTGCAGGATCAAAGTTTCTGGCTGGAAACATTTCAAAGTCTTTGAATTACTCCATCGATATAAAAGTTGAGGACCAATTTTGTGTAAATAGGGATTTGATTACTTTACCTTCACACAGAAGGACAGCTGCAATGAGCAGCATGTTAAAAAGCTTTTTAACGATGTAATAGTTTTTGGACAAAGTGCTAGAGGGTAAGATTGGGCATATAGGTCAGAAGACATAAAGGGCATGATTTTTAAGAGACTTACACCTGTCCTATGTTGACGGCATATTTTTGTACCTGCAATTAACAGTAGGCACCAGTGCTGCCATGGAGACAAATTTAGAGCCTGATTCTCCATCACACCTGTCCACATCAGGAGTAACTGCTGATGTTGGAGTGAAAGCAGCGTAAAACCAGAATAATGATAGCAGAATCAGATCACAGTTGGTAAGAATTGTGCCAGCAAGAATGTAGACAGCTATTAATGCTGCTTGGCACACATTAAAAACTGGTTGACAGGTCTCAAAATGTAATTTTAAATAGGGGACTCATCACTGAGTGGCTGTGTTTCTAGACTGGTTCTTGTCTCTCACTATTGAACATTTTTATCAAAGGCCTGGAAGAAAATATGAAATCATGACTGATGAAGTTTGCAGATGACACAAAGATTAGGGGAGTGGTAAATAATGAAGGGGACAGGTCACCGATACAGAGTAATCTGGTTTAACGTGGCCAAATGGAAAGTTATATATCTAGGAACAAAGCATGTAGGCCATGCTTACAGGATGGGGGCACTCTAGCCTGGGAAGCAGTGACTCTGAAAAAGGCTTTGGGTCATGGTGTATGATCAGTTGAACATGACCTCCTTGTGCGGCTCTGTGGCCAAAAGCCCTAACATGATCCTTGGCTGTATGAATGGGAATAGGCAGGTTATAGGTACATGTATGGCACTGGTGTGACTTCTGTTGGAATACTGTGTCTGGTTCTGGAACTTCAAGAAGTATGTTGATAAATTTGAGAGGGTTCAGAGAAGAGGCATCAGGATAATTAAATAATTGATAAACATGCCTTATAGTGATTAAACTATCAGACGCTCTCTGTTTAGCTTAACAAAGAGAAGGTTAAGGGGTGTCTTGATCACAGTCTGTAAGTACCTACATGGGGAACAAAAAATTGGTCATGGGCTCTTCAA